TCTTTCCCTGGCATAACCCACCTCGGGAGGGAGTTGTCAAGGGAACATGTGGGGACAGAAGGGAAGCACTGCAGGTGTTTCTTAGGCCCTGCTCAAGTCGCCTCACTGGAACAAGCGTCAGAGCATCAGCTCGCTCCCAGCTTCTGCCCTACATGTCAGGAGTCACAGGAAGGCAGTGAGGGGAGGAAAATCGACCTGAAGGGAGGAGAGGGGCACCAACACAACAGGACTTTCAACCTAGCACAAACCAAAGCACACCGATCTCTCCCATCCCTTCCTTCCCCAGGGAGTGCAGAACCAGCAAAGAGCAGGCAAGGTGCTGTTAGAAGAGGAAAGGGAATGCAACACAGTCCGGGCTGGCTGCTTCACCCACACCCCATTTTCACCAGAGTCCACACAGACCCAACTCTCGCACACCTTCAAACCACAGAGCCACGCAGACCGACCGTCCCCGACATGGCCCTGCACAGAGAGGAGTGTTGGCTGCATGCAGCCCGATGCAGCCAGGAGCAGATTTTCAAGGGGAGGAGGAGAGGCTGGAAGGCAGCTAGAACCACCAGGACAGCGGTGAAAGAAGTTCTCTCACTCTCCCGCTTGCTCTCTCTGTCTCTGTTTCAGCCTCCTCTCCCAGTATTCAGCCCCTTCTTCTCCAGCTCCGCACCTCTAAATGGCAGAGTCGCTATCCCAGCCATGCGCAGTCCAGCTGACCCTCTCACCCAGAGAGGTTACTCTTTCTTATCGATGTTGTTTCACATTTTGTGATCGTCCCTGCGACTACTGCAGGACGAAAGCTTATTTCTCTACCTTCCACACACTTTCCACTTTGGGGAGGAAGGAAAGGGAAGGTTGTGCCTTAACCTCCTTCAGGTCACCGGAGCAAATCCATCAGATATTGAAAAAAAACTCTCATGAAAGCCTCCACCAAGAGCCGGCTAGGACATCCACCTCCCTCTATGCCCTCCTGGGCCCCCACTCAACCAAAACCAGCATCACACCCTGCATGGCATCAGTCCTGCCTCCACCAGGCCTCTATTGCCACCTCTCCCTCCAGCCAGCAGAGTTCCTACCCAAGCTGCTGTGAAAGAAGCCAGCAAGTACTCACTCAAGCAGCAAGAAAAAAATTAATAATAAAGAAAGGCAGTGATTTGCAGTAACCAGAAACACCCCAGGAAGAGGGAAGGGAGAATGGGGGCTGCACCTTGAATCCATTCTGGTAGGACACACACGACGGGACTTCCCTGACTCGGGATAAAGCATTAGGAATGACTGCCACGGCCGTGGGTCATGCAACCTCCAGGTCTGGGGTATGAAGGAAGGACCGTCAGATCTGGGTTTCTGTGCCCACCTGGAACGGATTCAGAGTGTCGCCCCATGCACTACCACATGCCATTTCCAAAAACACCTTCTCGAAATGAGTATCTCCAACCAAAGAAAAGGGCAAGGGGCAGTGGGGAGACGAAATGCCAACCAACCACCAAAAGAGAAAGGAGGAAAGGCTTGTCACTTACTTTTCTTGTTTGTTTTTGACATCTTTCTTTGGTCTGTGGGGGAAGAGAGAACAAAGGCCTCATTAGAAGGGAGCTTACCACATATGCTTCCAGTACTATCCCCAGTTCCCACCAAGTCCAGGGACATGTACAGCTGGCACTGCAGGACGCCCACGGCACAAGTTAAGTGGTCTTTCTCAAAGCGTTTGTTCTCCTGTTGCACCTCACTGGCAACCAGTGCCAAAAGACCCCAGGCTGCAGGCTAGCATTGTCCACCTCTGATATCTAGAGATGGAGGAGCCTTGCCAGCAAAGGACTTCTTTTCTCAGGCTCAGCCATCCCACTGCAAAACAACTGAGGAAACTGCAGAAGCCTCTGGACAACAGTCCCAACCCAATGGCAGAAAAAAGGAAAAGCTCAGAGTAAGTTTATTGCAAGAGGAACCAGTGCTGCTCCATTCTCACCTGCAGTCACATTTACTGTGCTGTAAGAAGCTCATGTGCACTATGTGCTGACTCTGATGGGGTTTAATTCTCATGATCTGGAATGAAAGAAACAGAGAGGGTCACTGCCCATTCACTATTTATATTCATAGCGCCAAATCAGCCTGCTGCGCTGCAAAGCATTTGCACCCCAGGTGCTCCTGGGAAAAGCATGGAAGAGTTTGAGCTGGCTTTGAGGCCCTGTTCTCCCAGTCAGGGAAGGCCTTTGATCACAAGCAAGCGGCAACACCAGACTCATGCCAAAGCTCTGTTTGCTCATGCATGCAAGGTGCCAGCATTGGTGGACTGCCTTGGAGACAGGCATGGGAGAGGGTGTAACACCATAGCAAGGTTCTCACTGAGCCATCCCTGGTCGATGCCAGAGAGACAGTAATGGAGCATGCAGCCTGCTCTCACGTAGAAACATGCTTCAGTCTAACGCAAAGGCCCAAAGCGAAAATTCCATATCCAGCCAGTTTTCCCTAAGCCACCATTCCTTCCCAGATGACATCTTACTTTCTCAGTGACTCAATACACAACATAAATCTGGTGATCTGTGCTTAAAACAGCCCTGCAGAGCCAGACATTGCCCATCCCCCAGCCCCAGGCGCCTCCAGGGAAGCTGTATTAGAAGCTACGCATGTGTTGTCACAGTCTGTCAACCCGGAGGCTGGCTGGACCACTAGCTCTAGTATTTGCACCAGAGACCTGCTCATGTGCCTCTGACCATTTACAGGCAGGCAGGCATACCAGCCAAAAACTGTAATTCAGCAAGGAATGGTAGGGAGACAGCCATCCCTAGCTACACCATCCTAGTATGCTCTGGCCCAGGCTGGAGCCTGCAAGTGGAAAAGCAGTACGGGGACCCGCAGAAGGGCATAGACAGGTTCTACGCCAGAGTTCAAACACAGCTCAAATGACAAGTAAAAAGAGCTTGCTGTTTAATCACTTAGTCCTGCATTTCTCTCCTCCATATCAAAAAGCAATGGCAATATTCGAGAGGCTGAGGGACAAAAGTAGGTAAGGGAGCTATGGGTGAAGGGTAATGGGCACCAGCACCATTGTGGACACAAACTGGGATCCAGGCTGGCAGACATGCGCAGTGACAAAGCTCTCTAAAGCAGAGTTTGCATCTTCCCCACGTCCCCTCAGCCTTTGCTATCACGGCCATCTCCATCTCTTCCAAGGAATGAATTCAGCAGCCTCCAAACAAAGGAGGAGGACGCCCAGAGGCAGCAAGTCTTTTCCACTTGACACTGAAGCAGTGTGTTTCTTAGAGCCCCTTTCCACCCCTGCTGTGCCAATGTAGCTAATGACCCAAATCCCCTGCTCTGTTGGTAAAGGCTGACCTCACATGCCCTGGGGGAGAGAGTACTGACAGGCTTTCCCCTTTTCCACTACTCAGCTGCCTTCACAGCAACAGCTGTGGGGACCAAACGCAGAGTTAAGGTGGAGCAAGGGCCCAAGCAGTATCTTCTTTGGGGCCTCAGAGACAGCAACATCAGAAATGCTCCTTTGCATCCTCCTTTGCAGAAACGCTCCTTTGCATGCTCCCAGCCACTGTATTTGGGCACTAGTGAGGTCAGAGCCAAAAACTAGATTCTCCTCTTAGCCTCAAATAGAGATGGGCAACTCATCTTACATGCATAACCCTGCATGGTGTAATGCTGGGCACAAGGGTCAGGAGAGAAGTGAGCCCTCCTGATCTGACAATCTCCACTCCCTTGGTTAGGGTGCCCTTCCTCTGAATTAGCTGGGAGCTGGGACTTGGAGTGGCTGTGATGGCTGACTTGCTTCCTCCAACCAAGCACGCCAGCTTGCAAGCTGGGCCCTCACCTCCATTGTGACGTTGTACACATCCACAGGGACACATTCTAGGCCCTCATCGCCGCAGCAACCCGCACATCTCATCAGAGGCACACAGGATGGCTTGAATATGTACTCCACCTCATCAGGGTACTCCTGGAAAATGTCCACCAGGGTCTCAATTGTCCTGCAGAAGCTGCGCTCGTAGACTTCCAGGAATTTAATAACTAAAAGGAGGAATGGAGGGAATAAGTTAGTGCAAACGTAGCTCAAGAACACCTAGTGCTTCACCCCTTAAAATGAGCCAGATAGTTGCAACACATCTACCCTATGCTCTTTCACTACAGCCTTACAGGCCCAAGTCCTTCGTCTCTGCCCTACACACAAACAAATGAAGTAAGGAAGAGAAAGAGACAATCTCTTCCTACCACTGCTTCAGGGCAGAGACAAGATAGACAAGAAAGCCTCATTATTTGCCTCCCTGGCACCATGATGTGTCCCACAGGTGACTTCTCCCCAAACCCCTTCCCTGCTATCCCCCATACTCTCAGATACGCTGCGACTAAGCATATTAGCTCAGCCAAAAGCATCTGAGGCTGCTGCAGATGGTCTGCACTCTGGATTAAGGCCCTTCACCGGTTTGCCTTTTACCCCCTTTCAAAACAGCTAGTGGATGCCCCAGTGGGTTTTAGACAGCAAGGGGACAAGCCAGAAGTATCCTCTCTACAGACCTTGGCGCAGAGACACTTCTGGGAACAAGCAGAGGGTTCTGAACCGTGCATCCACATATCTTCACTCTTCCCATCAGCTGCCTCTTTTGCCCATGCAGAACGTCCACCTCAACAGGCCACCTCAGAACCACAACAGCACCTGCTGCAAGTCACAGCCTCCATGCCTTCACACTGACCACTCCCCCAGGCCAAGGAATCAAGCCACCCACTGAAGGATTCAAAGCAAGCCCACCGCACCCCCAGGATTAACTAGACCATACACTTGGCTGCTGACCCGCGATGAGGCAGTGTGGGAGGGGGAAGAGGGTGGATCTGCCACTATCCCCTGCCTTCCCTCTGAATGGAGCAAACACTAACTGCTTGCGATCTGCACTGATTTCACAAGCATTTCCCAATGTTTCCCAGTCTCTTGCCAAAGCTTCGTTTTGCTGCTTGGTCAAGGGTTGGAGAGATTTAGAGAGATGAGAGATAGGATAGATAAGTACACACGCACAAAACCCAGCTGCTAGTTCTACAAACAGTGAGTACCTGGAGCCCTCCAGGCCTCCTAGCTCTACCAGCATGCAGGCAAAGGAGGATGTCTCGAATGGAGCAGAGGATAAGAGTACATACAAAGAGACAGTACCTGCCCCACGCTGTTATGCACTACAATGATCCACCTGTACAGTATGCAGAGTCCTACAGCACCAAGGTTGATAACTCTGAGCGATAAGCACAAACTGCTTGCATCATGGAAAAAATGGTCTCCAGTAAGCGTTTCTAAAGTGCCCTGAACTTGTGACAAACTGGCATAAAGGTTACTTTGCCACAAAAATGCAAAAGCGGCAGGGCTTGGAGCTCACAGCCCGCAGTTAATTGTTGAAAGTTAATTCTAGGTCATGCAGAGCTGACAGTGCCACGGTGCTGAGAGCGGGTGCAAGAGGGGAGGAGCTTCCATCGAGGGAGTTTGAAGTGTCAGAGAGCATGAGCAGCTATTAAAAGAGAAAGTGGCTTGTGAAAGGGAAACATAGCCTGGCAGGCATGGACTGCTTGTTGATATTCCTCATCTAGAGGACAGCATGCTTCTGTTCCTTGTCCCTTCCCTTCCTCTTCCCTCCTCTGCTAACTGCAGCGTGCCTCCTGTCTGTTCTCCTACCTTGTCTGTGGCTACCTCCTTCTTCCCGTTCCCCTTCAGAGTGACCTTCGTCACCACCCATGTTCCAACAAGTTGAACAATTTAATATGTGGGAAATTCTGCAGGCACAACGACAGCCACTGAACTGCCCTGTTGATTATTCACGCTGTGCCAGCAGAAAGGATCTGGGAACTCTGGTGGTAAAGGCACAGTTCTGGATAAAAATGCTTACAGACCTACATCGAGGGGAGAGAGGGAGGGAGGGAGGGAAGAAAAGAGGGAGGGGAAACGGCAGTCACCTGCGCACATCAAACACTGCTCATAGCAGTAGTCGGGGCATAAAGAGGCAGAAACCGAAACAGAGCAGAAAAGTGAAACTGATTCCCGTCTGCCATGCTTTCTAAACGTTTGCACCGCGCAAACAGCTGGATTACACCAGAGAAGACTGGCCACAGAACAGCACATTCAACTCCTTTTGCAGAAGGTTTGCTTTCATGGCTGCAGTTTGATAACTATACTTGAGACCTGGGAGATCTGACAGGACCAAATCCTCCCCATAAAGAATCTGGGAGTTTTTGCCAATTTACTTTAAAATACGATGATTTTCCAAACTCTGAATCAGCCTCTGAAAATGAAACGGGGAATCCTTCTCCAGCTGCCAGTCAGAACGTCCCGCCGCCACAGGCGCGTTGCCTTGATTTCGCTGGACACAGAGCATTCAGAGACTGTGGAATGCTCCACAGTCACTTGCACAGCTAGCACCCAAACCGGAGCGCATGACCGAGGTACAGTCATCCTCACTGCAAAGCCCTGCCTCTGCTACCATACCTAGGCTTACTCCTATGTACCAGGAGTCATATTCCACGCTTTGCTGGGCTGATTCAGTCCGTGCTTCCTTTCCATTGGCTGTGTCAGGGACGGAAGAAGGTCTGCCTTTCATGGGGAGACACAGGAAGGTCACTGAAGGACTAACACTAGCTGGCCTGCTCCCTTCCTGCAGATTGGGCTTCAGCCCACGTTAAAAGTTAATCCCGCATCTAACCCACACCCCTAACCTGCAAAACACCTCCAGATTTGAGTCAGACGTTCTTCTTCGTGAATGGAGGGAAAAGCAAGGTTAAAACGCACTCAGGGCCCACATTAACTCTTCAGGGCAGACATAGTCACAGCAGGCAGGATCAAGTCCAAATTTGGAGCAGTCGAGTGGGAACATGCTAGACTAGAAAAGGAGCGAGTCTATGATCATTTTGCCTCCCTCCCCGTCAATGGCTTAGCAGCAATACAGACACACTGTTCTTTTAAAAATAAACGTGCAGCCACAAGTGCTGGTGGTTTCCTTTATTTATACCAGAAAATCTTTTCTCGTGGAACAAACAAAGAGTGTTTGTCTGACTCCTCTACAACTTCCCATGCCACAAAACATGTGGAAGGCTCTCTTGAGCACAAAAGGGTACAGGCTGAAGCTAAAATTACAGTCTCTATCCAGAGTAGGTCCATCCCAAATAAAAACCTGTCACAGCTCGACATCTCAGAGCAAGCGTAAAACGGCCAAAGACACAAAATCACCTTTCACCCCAACCCCAAGGCCCGCAAGAGCTTCAGTGGCAGGAACTACAGGGCTGTCCTTGTGGAACAGAGGCACGTCACCGTCTCCTTTTCACAGAGGAGAAACTGAGGTACTGAGACAGAATCTCCAAGGTCATAAATAGGGCAGAAGTAAAGCCAGGAAGGTAATGTCAAGAGTCCTGATTTCTAAGCTCACAGATATATCTGCACCACAGAACCAGAAATAGCACCAAGGCAATAGCACCGAAGTCCTGCCGCTCACATTGCCAGACCAGCTTCTCCTGCGATCCCATCAGCCTTCTTGTGACAGGGAATTAAATTCTGTTCAACTCTTCCCCTCCCCAGGAAGGTAGTCGGCCACAATGAATGGCACAGATGAGGACACTACCTCTTTTCTACCAACCGCAGAGGACTGGTTACCAAAACAAGCCTTGCAGCAGGCTCCATCTTGATCCCTCTGGAGTCACTGAACCTTCTTCTGTTGACTAAAAACAGGAGCAAGGGTCAAGCGCGACAGACAGCAGCCCGCCAGAAAACCAGAAATTTTGCCCATGCAGAATGGACACCTATCCCAAACACGGCCTGCCACAAACCTCCGGCAACACACACGCAGCCTGTCACACCAATAAAGTTACAGAAATCGAAATCGAGTGTGACAAAAACAAAAAAGCCAACCTAGGCCCACACTGCTAGAGCCCTCTGCTGACCTCCGGCTGGAATAACGCTGGGGGTCACAACCCACGGGGACCCCGCGAGAACTCTGCCAGGCCCTGCCATGCAGCCAGCGGCCTGCCGCGCTGCAAAGGCACGGAAAAGACGCGGTCAGGATGGGCTTCAAGCAGCTGGCGACCACCTCTGCCTGAAGGCTCTGAAGTCCACGGCCCTTCGACGCCACTTCTGAACCGAGGGCTGCGGACAGCAAGCCAACCTCCCGGTCTACGTTCGCTTGCAGAAACCAGCAAGGCGGAGGGGATGGCCGCAGAAAATCCCGACGGCTGCAGAGGCACCACCTCGCCCCCTCACCAGGCGACGGTCCCACCCGTGCCAGGCCACCAGCGACGACGGGGGCAGAACCTCCCGGATCACACCGCTGTCCCCCGCGCCTGCGCAGCCCGCTGGCTCAGACCGCAAGAGGAGGGTGTGTTTTTCGAGCCGGGCTCCGCGCAGCGCTGAGCAGCGCCCTGACCGGGGGTCACCCGGGACTGTCGGGAGGCACGACCCCATAAACCCATCCTCGGCCGCCCTGTTTTCCTCCTCTCCCG